GAAGATGTACAGAAGATGACTTCAAAGTATGTATGACTGTGTTTCCATTGCATCAAGATGAATTTCAGCTAGATGCAAGGAAGGACTTCTCGACTCGAGATTATGAAAGTCCAAGAGAACTATAAAATCTCCTGTGGAAACAGTTCAGCAGTGCAGAGGAAGAAAGCCTCAAATGAAACAACATCTCCAAAGGAGAGTGAGCCCATCCATGGAGTGTAAGAAATGGAGAATAATGCCCAGGGGCTCAGACCACTCTGCTCTTTCATTTTTCAACACTCTTCCTCTCCCATCCCCGAATAGAAACAGAACACTCACTGGGGAGGCTCCTTTCACCCAGGGCCAGACTAGAAGTTCAATGATTTCAGGGGACCCAGAATTCTCAATGAGGAAAAGGAAGCAAAATGCATAAGCTAGTGGGACTCTCAGCACCTGGATAGAGCTAAGCCATGAGGCCCCATGGATGCAGCCAATAGCGTACTGGTTTTGTCAATTAGGCAGACATAGGTTTGAATCCTATCTCCGACATTTACTAGCTGTGTGAATCTAAACAAATTATTTAACTTCTCTGCACTTCAGTAAAATGGAAGGATGGAATGAGATGATGTATGCAAAGACTATTTAAATCTGAGCTTTTAGTGGTGGTGTGTTTTTTTAAACTTTCCATATGATAATGTTTAGGGTGCAACCACTCAACACAGACCTGCCCTACAGGCCCGGACTTCCTTGAGGAAAGGGAGTAGCCAGCTCTAAAAGAGCCAAGTCTTGTATCATGAAATTTAAAAGTCCCTAGTGCTGGAAAGAAATTTTTAAGAGGTTATCTTGTCTATTCTACTCTAGGCAAAGATGACCCCCAACCTGTCCCAGGTTGTTAAAGATAGGTTGTTAAAAGATCCCCTAGGAAGCGAAGTGCCACAACCTCCCTCAGCCTGGTTACCTCAGGTCTAGTGAAGATCAGAACAACATCCCTTGACATCATGAGCTACACTTGGAAATAATAAGTCATATGTTCAAGGATGCCCACTCTCCTCACTATTATTTGATATAGTTCTGGAAATGCTGGCAATAGAAATAAAATGAGAAAGAAATTAAAGGTGTTAGGGTAAGTGAAGAGGAGATAAAACTATCCCCATTTGCTGATGATAGGATGGTTAATTTGGAAAATCCTAGGAAGTCAGCATGTTTTCAAGCCTTTTCAATATATTGATCAATTTTGCTGATTTTTCCTCTTCTTTTCTTGTCTCTAAAAATATTATTCATTAAATGGGTTATGGCTGTGATAATTTCTGTAGTGATCCCATGATTTTCTCCATTCTTAGAATCTTTGCTTTATTTTCCCTCAAGACTCAGTCCAGGGACCACTTCCTTGGTGGATCTTACCATCATTCATTCACTCCAACCCAATCCCTACCCCTGGTAGGTATTAGTGTTCTCTTCCCTCTTAAATTACCTTGTATGTACAAGCTGTATCAATCCAAAGAATGTAAGCTCGTTGATGGTAGGGACTCACTCCTATTCTGTCTTTGTGTCCCTAGTGCCTGGCACATAATAACGAATGTCTTAAATTGTGAAGAAAAAGGGGGACCTCAGAGCAAATCTCAGAATTTCCTGTCCTCAGTCACCATCATTCTCTCTCCCCTAGCAGGAGATTATGACCAACACTGGAACATTTTAGTTTATCTGAGAAATGACAATATCTCTCCTGTTGTATGATACTGGATTGGCATAGATAAATGCCTGTCTACAGTACAGTGATTTAATGGGAGTAGGAGTAGGAGGGAGAGAGCACCTCTGGTGACTTCAAGGGGGGAAGAGGGTCCCTCTAATGATCCCTGCCGTTGGGAATACCCTCTTAATTACCTGAAGCTAGCCTGTCTGCTTTGCTACTGATTTTATCCTCTTTCCATTTGGGAGAAGTGGTTTTTCTGCTCTAAATATTGACAGGCTGAAATGATCAGAGCCACTGTGAACTAACAAGCTCTCTCAGCTTTCAGGGGCTTCAGCTATCATATCCAGAATGTCAGGGAGAGATGTCCTGGTTGTCCTATAACACAGGAAGCACCGGGGTATATTCTTCAGGTTTTCTTTCTTCCCTTCCTCATTATTTCCCATTGGAAAGTTATCCTGTTTCCCATCAAAGGTGCTGGGAATCCAACACACAAATTTGGCACTTCAGCAGGATCTTAGGCAATCCTTTAGGGTCAGTCTAAAGCTTCACTGTCTCCATTCTGCTCTAGGATTGGAAAAAATATAAACCCCAGCTGTCGGTGTGTCACTTTCAGGCCTCTGTGGCCTCTAGTTTCAGTTTATTCTACCATAAGACATGTTGTGGGAACCCTTAAGAAGTACATTTGATTAAAAAGTCAGCATTACTCGGATTCTCCTCATGCCTGTGGCATTGCTACAGCCCTACCTGGGGAGCTCAATGTCAGAAAAAGAAAAGTTTCTGAAGTTCTAATATTTACATTTAACTCTTGTCAAGTGGGGATAAGGCTAGAGTTAAGGAAGACCTGGGTTCAAGGCCTGCCTGACTTATATTAGCTCTGTGACCTAGGCAATTTATTTAACTTCTTGGTGCCCCCAGCAAGGCTCTAAAATCATAAAATGCAGAGTAGTTGTTGCTCTGCATTGGTGTATGGTGTGTGTATGTGTTCACTGGGAATTGCCAACACCAGTGAAATCATAGATATGGACCAACCAGAAAAATGGGGATGGAGAGCATATATCTAATATATAGTGAACCCCACTAAGAAAATTGTGGATTTGAAAACCAGGTTCTGTTAAACCTACCAACAGGGCAATTATTCACAGTACAAAAGGTTTGCTGAAAAAGGAATGGATATAATGTCTGGAATAATGTAGACCAATGAGAAAAATCAAATTTGTATAAAAAAATTCAAACTTTGATTTCCGCACCACCTTTCTAGAATGATTATCACATAAAAGGACTCCTAAACCATGCAGTTAATTAAGACCTATTCTTAATATTCTTCTAGGTGAAGCTAATCCAAATGGCTCTTGATTGGAGGCAGTAGGACCTAAGGGATGGGTCTCTGAAATGTGAAGAATGAAATCCCAAACTTCCTTTCCAACCTGTTCCACCACAAAACCCTTCCCAGAAATGGATGAAAAGGAGATAAGCCCCAAAGTGTGTGACCAAGAGGACCTAGAAACCCGGGTGCCACAAACCATGCCAATCCACAAACTAGAGAACTAAGACCTGACTGTAGTCTCAGAGATCTATGGGTTCTCTGCTTTTGCAAGGAATGGGTAATAATCCTCCAGTAATCTACCAGGATTTAGACAACCGTAGGGGAGATTACAGAGGCAAATGGGGAGTCACAGGATCAAAGAATAAGAACTAGATGGGATCTTAGAAGTCATCTAGTCCAACTCCCTCATCTTTCAGATGAAAAGTGAGGTCCAGAGAGTGACTTGACCAAGACTACACGGCTAGGAAGTGGCAGATCTGACCTTAGGTCTGCCGGTACTCTTGAGGAGCCTTCTTCCAAAGCGAAACCCAAAAGGGATTGAGAATCTAGAAGACTCAGCAAATGTACCAGACTGATGACACAAAAATTGGGGAAGTGAGAAAGAAAAGTGGCCAGGCAGAATAATTTAAAATCATCTTCCCATTTACTTTCAGAAGAATGAAGAGCCCAACCAAAATATTTTTCCCTGGCTTTTTCCACAATGACTTCTGAAGGTTCCACAGCAAAATCCCACAGCCAGACATCACTGCAGAACTCCACGTACCTAGGGCACCCTGAAAAGAGCAGGTAGTCCCAGTCAGGAAACATCTCTCCAAGGATAGCTGGGACTCCACTGACACTAAACACTTCTAAACCACACTGATGATTATTATGCAATAATAATTGCTAACAAAAGCAAAAAACCCACAAAGAAAACTTCATAGTCCAGTTTTTCTGATTTGATGAGGAAGCAAGTACATTTAAAGGTTGAAAACCTTGTTTAAAAAAAAGTTTGCCCATTCTATAGTTAATTCTGGAGAAAATAGACCATCTGTATTTCAAACCTTTTTTTATGGAATGGATTTTTGGAACATGTAAACCCAGATTTAATCCATCTTCAGGTAAAAGAAAACTGGGGGGAGGACAGCTAAGAAGTAAAGCACGGATATAGGAGCAGATTATTTGCCATTTGTTCTGTGGATGGGCATTGGCCTGAACCCCTAAAACTGCTGGTTTGAAGCCTTGCCTGGGGCTATTTTGGAGAGGTCCTCTCTCCAGTCTGTAAACCAATGCTCCTTCTCTTGGGACACCACGACAATTCTGAGTAGCTAGGCCACACAAACCCCTTTTATTCCCTCCTCCCAATTTGAATACATTCACGTCTCCAGAAGTCATGCTTCAAAGTCTCTCTCCATCATAGTAAATCAATGAAGCTTCTGAGGTATTAAGCAATCCGTGACATTTGTGACTGGTTAACTTTAATTTGTCAAAATAAATTTGCAGTATTTTGCATGTTAGTAATACAGTGCTGGTATTGACAGGTAAAATCATCTGTGTACATAGAAACCTTCATTTAGGAGCACACCTTATGAGGGAAATGGATACACAATAAAAAGAGATCCCAGGCCAAGCAGCGAGTCCCAGAGTGTAACAACAGGCTGGATGTCAGATATGAGGATTATCTAATACAACTGTTTAGCTGCCAATCTGATAAAGGGGAGCTCAACCAGGTTACAACCCAAAGAAAGAACACACACTGCCTTCTCATAGAATACTGTCGGTCAGGCCTTCATTACTCAGTTGAGTCAGTTCATCAGCAGTAGAAACTCGACCAACACACAGGCAAATTCTATCACACAGCCTGGCTCCCTTCTCTGTGCATCCATCCCCCTTCTCCATGCTTTCCACCCTACCCCACCTTGGCCTCTCCCACTCCTCCAAAAAGACACAATGTGGTTTTATTATTGCCAACAAGCTTCTTAAGTGAATAAAGAGTGCATACGAAATAGCATTTTAACTGAAGTCATACAATGAAGTCTCACTCCTGTTTATTATACAATGAGTTGATAAAACAATCATTTCTAGTAAATATCTCCACTTTTTTTAAAAAAAAGAACTAATACTCTCAGGGTTCAAATGACCACATTCTACCCCAAGGGGAGCCCAACCCTTTCCCAACTGAGGACTGCTACCTGGAGGCCACTCTCAAGGAAGCCTGAGGCTTCGCGAATTTTCAGAGGCCTCTTCTGCTTCCCTCCCCAACCCTCTTTTCCTGGGGGAGGCCTGCCCATAAAGTTGGCAGACACCAGCAGGCAGAGCCAGATCCTAGCTGCAGGACTGCATGCTGGGACTTGAGCTTGCTCCCCAGGTGTGGCCATTGGGCAGCCCATTCCAGACCTCAGCAGGGCTGGACATGGGCCTTCCCTGCTCTAGTCCTTCCAGTAGTCCACACATAATGCTCTACATATTAAAAACAAACAGATCTTTGAACTGTGGATAAGAACAACTGTAACAAAGTCATAGCTACATATTTTTCTCTACATTTTGTTTATTGAGACAAACTAATTAAAAAGGCACAAACATAGGGCATATGTTTACATGGACATTATAACAAACATATACATTAAAAGTGTAGGAATGTGTTGCCTTCCTGCTAAACAGAAAGTTCCTAAGCTTTTATATATACAAAAGTTGTACAATTTAATGTCCTAAAGTACAAAAGATCATTTATAAAATTATTTTACACTAAGTTCTATTATTTTATTTTATTTTTTTTTACTATGTAGTTCAACCCCCTAGAACTGTTTTGTATAATGACACAGATACCTGTCCCTGATGTAGGAAGTCTGCCTCAGAAAGCAAGGTATTTTGATGTTTGGACTGACACAGAGGGTACAAACGGAAGTCGTCCAGTTTGATAGTCCTGCAAACATTCTGCAAGATTAACACAACTAATTTCCATTTCTCTCAACTGCAAGATTAAAAACAAAAAACAAAACACACACAAATTGCAACTTAAAAAAAAGATCGTGTAGAGTCTTGATTTTGGATTTTCTTTTAAACAATGTTTCTAAAACATTAATGTGTGGCATGATGGTCTAAAGAGTATCTGTTTTCCTAGCTTTTGGTTTCTACGTTATGTACAGAAAAAACATTCTGCTAAGAAACAAAAAGCACATGTCTCAACGTGTGTGATTATTGCAGGGTTTCTGCAGGGAGCTCAGACAGCTGCCTCCCTGAAAACACCACAAAGTTGATAGAAGTGTTTTCTTTAATTAAAAAAAAAATTAAGGAAAAAAAGTGATGATGTAAATATTTACAAAAGTCAACAGATCTGCACAACACTTGATTAAGAAAATAGGGAAAGAGAAATTAAAAAAAAACACACACTCTGCTTGTCCTGAAGGGGCATACTACCTAGTTAGTGGTTAGAATAAAAACTGTATACAATTTAATATAAGACAAAACTTCTAGTGAGCAACTAACACATCTGTCCCTGTTGCAATATCAACAGGTTTTGATTGGGAGAGAGAGGGGCATATACATCACATCTAAGTGCCTCCAGCGTCTTCCAATTTTAAAGCAATATTTCTTAAGTATTCCAAAGTACTCCTTGGCTCTTGAATAAGAGTCCCAGAGGTCCAGGTAGGCCAGGAGCCTCCCTGCCCACATACTTTTGTCTCCTCCTCTGTCAGGAGCAGCCTTTCCTTACCAAACACAATTTTTGTTTTTGTCTTTTTTTCTTTTTTTAAAAAGTCAACTACAATGCTATATTCCATCAGGATTAATAAGCTGAGCAATATTTACATCTCCAAATATCAGGTCACAATCCCTATTATATGTTGAAGTTAGAATGATAAATTATCATATGCTTTGCATATCAGAGCTGGTATCACCTTTCCCATAGGGAATGCTGCCTGAAATTAACATATTCCCAAAGGTAAAATGCATATTCTCTGAAATGCATTTTATTATGACAATGTAATGCATTTACTCATAAAAACATTAAATGTAGATAATTCTACACTAGCCCTCATAAATGGCAGGTTAAAAATCAGCCATCCACCCTATTTGGGAGAGGAAGAGTTCTGCTAGTGTTTAAAGCAAAATGATTTCCTAGTCAGGATAATTTCTGGGATAAAAACAATAATGCTACTTTTTTGCACATGTGTGTTTCACTTCATACGTCTGATTTTATTTGTGGTATTTCATCTCATCAACTACTATCCCATTTCAACATTGCTGTGAGCTAAAGGAAAAAGCCTGCTTAAACAGAAGTGGTCCAGTGATCACTTTGCACACCCTACTTTGAAAAATCCCAAATTGGAGAAAAATGCTATTTAGTCTTTCATTAACTAGTGTAATAAGATCTTCCAATTTCTTGGTTTGACTTTTGCTTTAATAAACTAAAAAATGTTGCTGGTAAATATTTACTTTAACTTTTTTTTTAATAACACTGTTTACCAAGGTGGTGATGTGGGCAAAGCTTGGGGTAAGAAAGGCATGCTCTCTACAGGTCTCATTGCTATATTTAGTGGGGCAGCTAATGTCATTGGTGTGGGTAGGTTCATTGGAGATGTAATAGTGACTGGGTGTGCTATATTCACGGGGGCAGTGACTGGGGTGGGGAGGTTGACTGGGGTGGTGAGTGTTAATGGAGAGGTCATGGATAGTGGACTGGTTATAGTTACAGGGTGCCCTATATTCATTGGGCTGGTTATATTAACTGCACTTGAAACATTTACTGGACTTCTCATGCTCATTGCAGCTGCCACTGTGACTGGGTTTGACATTGTCCCAGACGACACAGAGGAAGTTATATTGAATGGAGTAGTAAGAGTCACAGGTGTCGTAGCAGCCGTGGAGGTTTGGCACAGGTTAGCAGCTTCTAAAATGAGAAGACAAAAAGACCTTTAGACTCCCAAAACCATAAATGAAATTTCAAAAAATCTTCTAAATCAATTTTTAAAAAATCAAAAGTCACAAGTATTTAATAAGTTAAATAATAACATTTTTTCAACCAAGAAGAAAACATGACAGAGGTGCCTTCTGAGCACTGGGCTGGGGAGGCAGGAACTCCAGAGTACTAATCTTGTCTCGGATACTAACTCCCTTTAGGACTTAGGCAAGTTGCTCAGCCTCTCAGTCTAGGTTTCCCCCCACAAGGGGGGAGTCAAACTTACTTACCTACCTCACAGTGGTGGTGTGAGGATGAGTTAACTTCTGCATGGCACTCTGGGGGGCAGAGGCACCGCAGTAGGACTAAGTATTCTCACTATCACTTCATGCAGTTCGTCTGAATTCTAAACGCTTTCCTGGGAAGAGCCAACCACCAGCAGGCGAGAGGGGCTGGTTTACACAGAGCTGGGCCGTTGGTTACACAGTATCGTATCGTACAATCAGAAAAATCCTCTCATGAGGCACATTGTAAGTAGTGGAGAGAGTGTGTACATACCGAATGGTACGTACTCTATAGCCTTCTCAAAGGTGAACTGACATTCTGTGAAGGTTTTAAAAAGCCGTTATTAGGGACTGATAAGCAAAGCTGTTTCAGTAATTAATTATCTGCTTATTTCAGTCTTAGAAAAATCATTTCTTCTAAATAAACCTGATTACAATTAAGTTTAAGTATGTTAAAAAAAACAACACTTCACCCTTAGATCTATGCCCCACCCCCTCTCCCGCCCCACTCCCATTTCCTATCTTATTTATATATTAACTTAATAGGCTAGTTTAATCATAACACAATGTACCTGCACACATTACACATACCACCAAGCATAGAGAAAGGGGTTAACCAGTAGCCCAGACAAGGAGACACTCCAGTGAGCTGGAGGGCTCCTGGTCCTTCCCTCATCCAACTGTGGCTGGATACTTCTTAGAGAAAATTTCCCTTGGAAGATAACCCAACCCCCACACCCACAAAAATCAGCACCACCTGCTGGTTAGCCAGAGTACAGAACTCCTAAGAGGGATATGGGTGGGCTACCATTGATGTGGCTAACAAAATGAAAAGAGGCAGACTGAAGCTAAAATGAATTTGAGGCTAATTTTGGTGTTTGTACACTTGTTCTACAAGTGAGCCATGTCACTCAGAGTGTGGATGCTTTGTCCATGAAAGAGTTAATAAGCAGCCATTCCCTGGTTAATTCAATACAGGCTATACAAATTCTCTATACACTTTATTATGTTCTTTCCTCTAACATCAGCCCCAGTACTTCAAGATACACAGTCAATTTAGTTGAAGCCCTAAACTTATCAAGGTTCTCTCACTCTCTGAAATGTTACAAAGCTGAACATGGATACAGAACTTTCTGACATCTACAGGCAGTGTGCAACAAATGGGAACACAATAGCATTTTGTTTCATGGGGGTCAAAGGATGAGCCTAAACAGTTGAGTTATTATATAAGCAAAGTGAAATACAATATCTAACAGAAGAGGTGGTGGTAACATAGCTAATTAGGACGTATTCACTCCAATATTATCTTCCAAAAAGTACTTTTTAGGGTCTTTATTTCTCAAGCCTGACAGTGTCCCTTTAATATAATTTGATTAACATTTATGACTCTCTGATCTCTAAATAAAATGCTCTCTGAATATAATTTTTCAACTGATAAGAAACAGCCACTTTATAATACTTGTATTAATTATCATAGTACAATATTCCTCCCCCACCCCCAACTCATCTATTCCCATCGCTAGCAATTTGTTAAAACAATGACAAATAACTACATTTGGAAGACAGGAACAAACAGCACTTGAGGAAGGCCTGCCTGGAATGTTGCATTCTTTTTCTCCATTGCCACTGGATGTATGAAAAAGGATGCTATTCCCACTATCTTTAATGAAATCATTAGATATTTAGAAGGGATCTGAGGGAAGGGAGAGCAGCCACCTCACACAAAAGCAAAGGATGAAGAAACTACAGGACATAGGACATTAGAGCGGAGCAACATATGCAGGAGATTCTTAACAAATTAAAAGTAATGGGGACTGGAAAAAAGGCAGTAACAGGAGTTTATACCTGCCACAGGGTGAGGGGAAATATATCAGATATTGGAGATATGCTGACAAATACGCTTATCTGAAGTAGCCCCATGACAGATCAGAAGTCAAAGCTGTGACCAGTAAGCCGAACAGCTATATTGGGCTATTAGTACTTTAACTGATTCTTTAACATGATATACACAAGAGAAAAAGCAAATAATTCTCAATTTTTCATCTATTACAATTAACTTTTGAACTGAGGGATATTTTATGCTGATCCTAGAGCCCCACTGAATAACAATACTAACATCAAAATCACGAAGAGGAAAGAAATCAGCACTATGGTTGATACAGGAAAGAGGGGAAGAGATGCAGAGAGGCAAGAACAGGAAAGGATATAGTAAAAAGATGGGACACAAAGGAAATGAATTATCCAATGACTGATACAGGCACAAAAGTGATGTGTCATCCAACACTAAAAATGAAAATGTTTATGAAAGAAAAAAGTAGACAAATAAGCAAGGATGTTGATGGCCAAATTTGGTTCTTAGATAACAAAGAAGGAAAGCTATTATCTATCCAAGAAACAAATTTGCCTCCAAATTTATAACAAATGCAAACCAAAGAAACCCAGAAAGATATACAGAGATTCTAGTTTTCCAATAAGGAATAATGTTATTCAGATACTTTACTGTTAAAAATAAAACTTTACCAGATTTTTTCTGCACATGATGGTTTACAATCCACAAACTTAACACCCTTCATTATATAGTTTCTTACTTTGATTACTTGACATACTAAATTAGAACACTTCTCTACCTACACAGAAGATGCCATAAACCTCTTACCTTTTTTTCTTGCCTTGACAGCTTCTTCCCACAATCTCAGTGTCTCTACCTGCTTCCCTGGCCAGCTGGTCACATGCTGCTGCTGCTGCTGCTGCTTCTGGTTGCTGGTCTCTTCATTCATACATGCTACTCCAATCAAATACAAACACAAAACATAAAATTCAACTTGAAAAGTTTTGTTTTATTTCAAAATTCCTAAAGAGACACTCTTGGATACTACTGCCCATATATTACTCTTCATGATCTTTGCAGTTTGTTCAGATAGCTTCCTCCAAAGCTCATCTCTTCTATGGCTAATGACCACATCAGTCAAAAGATAAGAAATGAACACAAAACAGGAGAGCAGGGACACTGGAGAAACCCAGAGAAAGCAATCCAAAAAAGCTCTCTACTATTTCAAAATGTTGATAATATCTTTTAAAGGGAATTCAATGAATAACTGTTAGGAGTAATCAATATGTTTATCAAAATGTTTATGCTTTTTCTTGACTGTAAGGAAGCACATTAAAAATTAAACTTTAAAATACTCCTAATAGGGGGCAGCTGGGTGGTGCAGTGGACATCACTCCAGCCTTGGAGTCAGGAGGACCTGAGTTCAAATTTGGCCTCAGACACTTGATACTTACGAGCTCTGTGACCCTGCGCAAGTCACTGAACCTCGATTGCCTTATCAAAAAGAAAAAAAAAGCTCCTAATAAAATTAAAAACACTTAGATAAATTGATTTATTCACTCTGTATAGGTTTTAAAAGAAGTTAAATTAGTCAAATTTAACATACATATGAAGTTTCATTCATTTTTAATCATCTATCTTTTAAGGATTTGTTGTTCCGCTAAGTATCACAAATATAAAGCCAAGTTCTATTTCAAATGACTACAGAGATCTTAAGGAAAAAAAGCCTGTATAAATGCAAAATTATTTAGCATGGTGCATGTGAAACACTAAATCACCAAATTTAGATTTTGACAAATAAATTAGTTTCATTTTTTTTCAACTGAGTAAGAAATTTCATTTCTTTACTGGTTGGAGGATGGAAATGGTTTTCTCATAACTTTTCAATTGAGCCAAACTGATCTAGAGGTATGAGAGCTCAGTTCCTATTATAATCTCCTCTGGTAATCCAGCTCTGCTTGCCAGCCTATGTCCATTCAAGACAAACAGAGAGAGAGAGAGAGAGAGAGAGAGAGAGAGAGAGAGAGAGAGAGAGAGAGAGAGAGAGAGAGAGAGAGAGAGAGAGACTCTTACCTCTTTAGGGAGATGAAATTTTTAAGTTCACTGAGAAAACAATTTTAAAAAGAAAGAAAAAAGTACACCTTCAGTAGCCTTAGTTTACTTTTAAGGTTATTTTTAAGGCTGTGACCTTAACACAATCAGGTAGTGATCAATAGTATACTGGAATTTCTTTTACTTTAAAATAGTTATCATTAATGAGGATAGGCAGCAAGATACAGTCGCTTTCTGCTCTCTGAGTATTAATACATTAAGACTTTTCATTCCAGTTCCTGGGAAAAATGATTCACTGGAAAAGAGTGGTCAGACAATTATGCTATTTCTAACATGGGCATACATAACAAATGAGGCTTGCAAATCAATGTGGACAAACATAAGATTTGAAAGTAATGGAGCTCCTGAGCCAGTGGTTCTTGTTTATAGGTTGGAAATGTCTAACACTATCATACTCTTCTTCTGAGGCACCCTGGGGGGTTTCAGTAAAAAGCAAAAATACTAAAATTGATCAAGAATAAATGGAACTCAAAGCATGATTTGAACATCTTTGGTACATTATTTAAAAAAGCAATTTAAAATACATATAGCATAAAAAAGTTTCACCTACTTTTATTGATGCCTTGTTTACATGTATTACAGTTGATACTTTGGCTCTGCCCATGTGTCTTTAAGTGGCTGGTGATATACGCTGCACTCAGAAGTTTACCACAGATATTACAAGATACCTTTCCTTCATGGCGAACCATATGTGTCCGCAGTCTGTCTTTGGTGGCAAAGGCAGCAGTGCATGTCTGCATGAGGGAGGAAAACTTTTTTTAAATATAGACTATCCTGTTCTACACATTTCGAAGCACGCTGTACTATCTATGTGTCACTATGCCCACATTACTCAGATGGAGAGAGCTATTAAAATTTTGCCTATTTGTGTCTTATAAATGGTGATTTTAAATCTTTCATGGATGTCAGCCCCTTCCATTTCAGGGAAAGGAAAAAAAATTCTCTTTTGGATTTTTCTTTGAAATCAAGTCATCTGTACTTATTCCAACCTGTTCGTAGTGACTAATCAATCACATTAAGTCAAAGACTTTCAGCAACAAACTGGAATAACTAATGCCTAAAAAGTCTTTTGTTTTAGCTTTCAGTATTTAATTTTCTTTAACTGTTACAACTTTATGTTGCACAAAATCATTAACTAGCTATCAATCAACCTTTCATAATAGCACAAAAGAATATTTTTTAAACCTGGTAAGAAGAGCCAGTGATAAAAATTTGGAGAAAATTCAGGTTTTTTTCTTCACAAATCTCAGTTATCAACCCAGAAACTTATTTTAAACCTTCTTTACATCCTTCTTATCCAAATACAAACCGACCTTTGTAAGGGTAAGGTATTTTTCTACAAACAAAAATGGTATTTCCAAAGTAAAGGGACAACTGCTTGACAAAGGTAAGATATTTCAATTTTGAAAAGGTCTTATATCACAAAAATAGAAACTGTCTTTCATTATTATTATTATTATTATTATTATTATTATTATTATTATTATTATTATTATTGTTAAACTAGCATTTAAATGGATCACATTATTCAAGCTGGTAATTTCTAGACCATTCAGCATCTGAGAGATGTGATCAGCTTATACTTTCTGGATCATGTGCAGTAACTGACATATTAAGGATAAGTCATTTTAACTCTTACTTGGCATTTGAAGGGTCTCTCTGTTGAATGGACATGTTTTACATGACAGCTTAAGTGGTCAGGCCTGTGAAAGAGAAAGGTACAACATGTAATGGAACATAGAGATGGCATCAACTGTGATGCTTATATTATGCCTTTTGCCTTTGGAGAGGGGAGAGGAGAAGAGAAGTGGTATCTGTAGTTTAAAGAACATTGACAGCATTAATTACCGTTTCCCTTTCACAAATAAAATAACAATTCTCCCAATTTACCTGTGAAGATTGTCTCTTCTCTAACACCAAATTACACTAAACCTTTACCCTACACAGTTAAAATATAGCCAAAATTATAGCCCTAATATGTGAATGGAAGGATACAAGTATATTAATTTTAAAAGTTTTTTTTTTAAAAAAGGACCATAGGATTTTAGATTTGGAAGGAGCCTTACAGTTCATCTCATCCAAGAAAAAATAGTGAAAGTCTCAGCACTCAGACAGGAGGAAAGAAGTATTTTCCCAAGTACCTTACCAAAAGTTAGAAAAGCTCCCCCTCCTCCATAGGAATACTTCCTTGGTTTGTACATTCTGTAGCTCCTATACCCAGACATACAATTGTCATGGCAATATATGTCTTTATACTAAATTCAGGGCTGAATCTACCAGAGCACTTCCTAAACAAAATACGATGTTGACCACATTTCAACTAAACCAAATTGGAATCAGTGACCTATAGATATAAGATCTCAGTACCTATCCTGTGGTAATCCAAGTTTCCCCACGCCCATTATTAAAATAACCACCCCCTCCCCCATCTCCATGGAGACAAAAATGAAGTTCACTGAGAATATAGGTTTAAAAAGAAAAAAAACCCAGTACCTCGAGAAGCCTTTCCCACAAACACTGCAAGTATATGGTTTGGTGATGCCTCCTTCATGAGACCTCACATGGTAAGTCATCCGATCCTTCCTCTTGAAGCGCTGATTGCAAATAGGACATTCAAAGGGCTTCTCATCTGAATGAGAGAGCTTGTGCCGGTTAAGGTGGTAGACATCTCGGAAGGCCTTCCCACACATCTCACAAGCATGGTTCTTCTTGACTGGCTTACTGGGCTTCTTGACTGTCTGTGTCACTGGCATAACAGTGGAACTGGCACTGCTGCTAGGGTTAGTGCCAGAGGAAGATGTAGTAACTGTTGACAAGATGCCTGCAATGGTTGAGACCAACGAAGTTCGGCTGTTGTCTCCGGCGATAGTGGAGATAAGGGGTACCACTGTGGTAGGGGTTTTCTTTTGCCGTGACACTAACTTTATCCCAGTGTGGCAGGACTGATGACGTCTCAGGTGGTAGCTGTCCCTGAAAGCTTTACTGCAGTAATTGCACACAAAGGAGGTTTTAGGTTTTTCTTTTTTAATCCCAATGGCATCCTTTAATGTTTCTGGTGGTGCCTGAGGTTTCTGAGTTATTGGTAATGGAAGCAACGGCTTCTGATCAGGGGGCTCCACAGCAGAGCTCAGGAGGGGCAGCAAGCTGTTCTGTGCTGCCTGCTGTTGGTGATGGGAGGCTTCATGGGCCTAAAACCAAATATTTACACTTAAGAAACACAACCACTCACAACAGCCTTCAAAATTCAACATGCTCCGGACAACACAAACCCAAGGAAAAAAATGGAAGACCTTGAAAACATATTCTCTGTAATGGGTTAAGCAAACCCACAGTAACTCAGAAACCCCAGGACATAGCATTTAAGTAACCATACAGTACACAGACTTTTGCCATTCCTGCGCTAAAGTTACTCTCACTTTTAAACAGCTGACTCAACTACCAGACAACCTTAGTTCACAAGGAATGCACTAGCTGATAAAGTCCCTTTGCATTACTCTGTCAGTGCTAAAGCCAAGTTTAAATAACTTATCCAAAAAATTATACTACAGATATATACTTAGCCCCTCAGTGAAATATAAAATACAACAAAAGCATCCCCTTGTGAATTAAATAGGAGAGGAAAGGCTCTGTGTCTCCTCCTTTCTCATCAGAAAACCCTTGGTGATTTAAGCAAAAGGGCTGTTATTGCTAAGTGCTGAATGGAATCTAGTGTTCTAAGCATGTACATTAGCTGTAAGTTTACTTTAAAATTTTTCCTTTAATCCTACCAGAGATCGGGTTGAAATTAAACCTGTTTTAGTACAACCTGTGGGGTATATGTCAGGAGATTCCACAGCAAAGTAGTTCTAACCATTATGTAATTCACCTGATGCTAGATAAGTCCACTTCCTAAAGCTGTACTAAACTGGTTGTCCAAGCCACTGAATTGTCAAAGACAGGTTAAAGAAAAAACCATAAAAAACTTAAATTCCCCCTTTTAGTCTTATATTTCCCCAGAAGTTCTTGTTTTTGTTAAAATATTAGACAAGTGCTTTGTTCTAATATGCATTCCTCCTCATTCCCCTATCCCAAAAAACAACCTTCCATAAAAACTGAGAAATTAATAGGCTGCCTAGAAATTTCCATCAGCTATAAAACCCAATTTCCCCCTGTGGATCAGCTTGTTGGTATTTGTGTTACTATTCTGGTTTTGATTCTAGCAAGATTCATAGTATCTCCATGCTAACAAATACTTTAAGATATGATAGGTTAATTCCTGAAACAGTTTTTCTAATATCTTCCCCTTTATCAAAAATTATCTGAGACTGAGACAATGGTCCCAAACTCCAAAGTTTAAGTTTCCATAATCCCAGGAGGACTGAAGCAACCAGAGTTAAAGACCCTAAACAGTTTAAGCACAGTGTACTAGGCCTTTTTCCCACAGCCTGACTTTAGAAGCTTATTTATCCTTCTCTCAACCTACAATAACAAATTCTACAGTCATTTAGCTAGCCTCCTTAAGGACAGAAAAACAAAGACATGTAATCACACATTCATATGCATGCATACAATTTCTCCCCAAAGGATAAGAAGAATACCCACTATTACTCCCAGTTTATTTGATGAGAATGCCAAAGCTAAACTTAAAATCAGTGTCCCACATGACCACACAGTGTGATTATCCACAGACTTAATTTCAATTAGCAGGTTTAGTACCTTTGACTTCACCTCCCTCTGAGTCCTGGGAAGCTCTCAGAAACTTTGTTATGTACTTCAGTTCAGGGCATCTCTGGACTTAGTGTTCGTACTGAATTACAGCATACTTTTTTATGGAGTTTCTCTTGGTCTCTATACGAGATTTAAGAATCTCATTGGGTGACATTGAAAGAAGCCTAAAGAGATCTGTAGTCTAATCCTACCCTTTTCCCAATCAGATTCTAAGATTCCCAAATTTACATATAGTATACAAATAGTTAACATTTGAAGACTGGTCATGATACAGAATTTCAAAGCCATCTGACAGATCAGATAGCAGAGAATGCAAATCTTTTGGACAAGGTTCAGATAGTTTAGAGGCATTTTTCAATACTAAAGAACCATTAGGATGGCTGAGCACTAAAAGCACTTAGCACTATTTTATCAATATAGACATCCATGTAAATACTTTCACAGAACTGCTGAAGCTCACTTTCAAAAGAGTTCTAAGAGTTCCCTTGATCATTTCTTAAATGAAATTATCAAGAATATCCCTACTTTTGAACGAATCACTCCTCCATTCCCAAGATCCTCTATATGAAATCTTCTTAATGAAAGAACTGGCTCCTCCCCACCCACCTCCACATCAGAGGTAGGGACAGACTAAAGCAACAACTGCTGCCTGACTATGGTAAGGTACACTTGAAAAAGAAAATCCATCTGCAGGGCAGGCTTTTATTTGATTAGGATCATCATCAAATCAAAGTTCTAATTTTTTTTCCCTATCCCCTTCAACTGTAGTGCTTTTAACCCCTGCCTGAGCTTTCCTTGTCTCCAGTTGGTGAGAAACAAAACAAAAATGTTATTTCATCACTCAGGGTGGTAGGATATGGCACCGTGAAATCTCCAGTGCCAGAGGGTAAAAGATTTTGTACTGAAACAAATTAGCATCAGTGAGTCATATCTTGAATGTCCTGTTAGAAGAATCATCCATCAAACATTTTAACAGCTATGGCTTTCACTTTCTACTCTGTATCTGGAAAGTAAGCAGGTGTTAAATTGTTTTAAAATATAAACGCGATAAGATGCTGATGGAAACAATGTAATTTACTCCTTCATTTCCTCAATGGAAATCATTTAAAATCTAAACAGGGTAGACTTATTCAATACCTTTCAATAGGAATTCCTGGAATATTTTCCATATCCAGTCAATTATCTCTCTTCAAATCTATATTAAATCCGTTTTCTCAAAATTTAATGAAAACTATATGAACAGCCAAATTCTGGACCAAAATTTTATTTCTCACACCTGTCTATGAGGTAGGTGGAACCATCTGCTTAAAAAAAAAAGCCTGAAATAATTTTACATGTGAAATCACATAAAATCTTTCAATAAACAGTTAATCAATGATATCTTACAGGAAACTTGTCCAAGGACAGTAAATTTTAAAATGTTATAATATATTTTAAGTAGTAATCAGCGTTATAAATATTAATAATTACAAAGTTTCCCCTAATACAAGGTACCTCTTATTTTCACAATCTCCAATTAAGTTTATGTAGTAATCTAAATCATTTGTCATATCAAAACTGCTCCAGAGGACACATTTTTAATGAATGTCTGAAAAGTTTTTCTAGAAAGTATACTTGTCACTTTAAATACCACCTATACATTCAATAGTTATACATTATTTCTTCTCTAACAAACATTCACTATATTATTAAAAATGTATATTGCACATACTGACCAACAAACTCTTCAAAACGTGATAAAATAAAAACAGATCAGACTGGGGAGACAAAGAATTTCAGGAGTCCCTAATTCTGAAAACTTCAATTTCAAGAAGACTGTGTTTATAAAGGCTAAAAACAAACAAACAACCCAACCCCAAACTACCCACAAAATACAGCTTGGTAGGTATCAAACACTTTTTTGAAATTAAAAAAAAAAAACTACGGGTAATGTGTTGGATTCTCCAGCTCTCAGATCAAGACCACTGGGGTGAGTAAAGTGGTTTAGAGAACAAATTTATTAAAAATTCTACATCCGTTCCTGGCTGAGTAAAAGGGCTCAAGGGCTCCAGGAGTCTGGGGTTTCACGAAGTTATTCAAAGAAGGAAAATAACAGAGAAGTGGGAGGAACGCACTTTAAAGTGATGAGTTTCCTGCCCTCTTTCTGTTCCGAAGTTTCCCAGTGAGCTCATCAGAACTGCCCACTAAACGCTTCGTTAGTAAATTGGAATGAAACAGAAAAGTAAATAAATAAAAATCCACCCAGGGCATCCAAACAGGGTTATCATCTCGGTTCCCCAACGAACTGCATCACTCCCCCCTTTCTCGCACCCCCCCTCCAGCAAAGTAAAGCCAGTTAATAAATCGACCATACAAATGACTTCCACGATTTCTTGCGGAAAGCGGGTGGCTTCGGGAAAGAAAGAGAAGAAAAACACCCCAAGGGGTGACTCATCTGGGGGCTTTGCAAGCGGGATCTTTCCCAGTCTCCTTCTCTTTCTTTCTCTGGCGCTCCCCCGGGTCAGAGGAAATGTGCGCGGTCAGAGACAAGGGCTCCAGTAGGAGTGGAGGGCTCGCTCCATCCAGGACCCTGGCGCCCCATCCCTCGCCTCCCTGGCCGGGGGGGGGGGGATTCCCCAGACTGAATGGGAGGGGGGCTGAGAAGGATGCGGGAGAGGAAGGGGGTGTCAGCTTCGGTCAAGTCCCGGCGCAGGGGCTTTTGTAAAAGGACAATTTCAAATCCCGTCTATAAGTTCAGAGACACAGACACTGACCAGAGCGAACCCCTCCAACTGGGCAAGTCTCGGGAGGGGAGAGGACAGGGGGCCCGAGAACACCCCTTGCACACTCGGGGATGGACTGCGCGGAGGGGGGTAGCAACAAAAAAGAGGGAGCACAGAGAGGAGAGAAAGAGAAAGGAAAGCAGGCAAAAGAGGGGGGGAAGAGAAAAGAGGGGCCGGGAAACTTGGGCGGGATAAAGGACTGGGGGGGCACTGAGCCGCACTCCCCCCCGGGGTCCTGGGGAGCTACAGCCGCGCGCCGCTTCCCTTCCCTAGGGCAACCGCCGGGCTGGCGGACGGGTGACAGCGGGCCGACCTCCTCCCTTCCCCTTCAGAGCAGGAGGGGAAGGGGGTGAGTGCCCGCGGGAGGCCCGGGGGTCACCCCCAGGCCGCTGGGAGCCCCTCCCCGCCCGGGCACACGCACACACACCCTCGCGCCCCGGGAGGCCGCCTCTTCACACCTCGGTCGCCCCGCGGCTCTGGGGCGGGCTGGCGGAAAAACAAAGGGGGATTAGGGAGGCCCGGGCCCGGCCCGGCTGGGGCCCGGGCGCGGAGCCGGCAGGCAGGCAGGCAAGCAAGCGGGCGGGCCGGGAGGAGGGGAGGAGGAGCGCCCGCCCGCCGCCCGCCCGGGGCCCGGCCCCCCTGAGCCCCCCCCGCCCCCCGGGGGGGCCCCCAGTACCTGGAACAGGAACGCGGTCCAGTTGGCCTCCATGGCGGCAGCGGCGGCGGCGGCCGAGCCCCCTCCTCCCCGCTCCCCCCGCTCGGGGAGCCTCCTCAGCCGGAGGAGGCGACAACAAAGCGGCGGCGGCGGCGGCGGCGGCAGCGGCGGCGGCTCCTCAACATGGCAGCGCCGAGCGCGGCCACTTCCGGTAACCTCCGGGACGCACCACCGCGGCGGCGAGCGCGGGCGGGAGGGGAGCCCCGGCGGGGCCGCCGCCGCCCCCGGACCCCGCCGCCCTGCCCGCGCCCCCCCGCCGCCCGCCCTCCCGAGCGGGGCGCCCTCGAGGGCTGCCCGTTGGGGGGTCGGGCCCCCGGCGGGGGGGCTGGGGTGGGGCCGGGGGCGGGGAGGCGGCGCGGAGTCCCCCCCCGCGGGGGTGTGGGATGCTGCGGTCCGCGGCTCAGGCAGCGGGAGCAGGGGGAGGCTCAGGAGAGAAGATGGAGGACGCCAGGATCTGGCGCTGCCCCGCGGGGCGCAGGCCAGACGGCCGCCCGCTCCCAGCCGCAGACGCGGCGCGCAGCCCTCTCCCTCCCCGCGCCGCGCCGCGCCCCGCTCCGCCCTGACCCTCGGCGGAAGCGGAGCCCGGGCCCCCGGCGCCGGCTGCGGCTTAGCCCAGAGGCGCTCCCGCCCACCCCCCCGCCCCAAACTGAGGAAACCCCCTGGCCCTGGGGGCGCCCGGTGCCCCCGCCGCCCGCGCGCGCTGACACGCGCAGACACGCCAGCGCGCCCGAGGCTGCAGTCGCAGCCTGAGACGCCCGAGGCCTGGGTGGGAGAAGCTGAGCCGCGCGCCACCCCTTGCGGAGCCTCTCCGATTCGGGGAAGGATGCTCGGCTTCCCTTGTCCGCTGCTTCCCTCCACTTTGGGAGCATAGGTGCAGGGTCAGGGCCCTCCACTCTTCCACCACCTCGGGATGTCACCCCCGAGTTTGCGCTGAAGTCGTTCCTGAACTTTTCCGTCTACTCACCCCATCTTGGAGGTGTGACATTCCACCACCACCACCACCACCACCCCCCTCCAAAAATAAAAAGAAAATAAAAATAAAAGGGCGAGAAGATGGAAGAGAGAAGAGGAAGTAAGCCTCAGACTGCCCTGCGCCATAGCCTCGACTAGCTCGGCCCCACTTCCCCCCATGCCATTGCAAGGACCCTGTTCAGAACCAGGTGTGAGGATACCCCAGGCTTTGCGCAATCCCGAGCCCGCACGTAAAGAGGCCCAAGTTGGGGCTTGGACTTCTTAAATTAAGATTCGCCTCTGTCCTTTCTTCCCTATTCTTGAGGATCATTCCCAGAACTTTCTCTTTTCTTTCTTCAGTTAGCTGGCGACAGAACTGAGAATATTAGAGACAAGCTACTATTGCAGTGTCTCGAAGCTCCTGGGGAGGGTAATGAAGGGGAAGCGTGTTTCAGTGATATTTTAATAAACTAATTAAAAATACCTCAATTTTCAAATGGCCACATTATTACAAAACCTACATCGTTCATTACTAATTGCCTTTTTACTTCACATCTATTACTTCTGGACACTCTCATTACCCCAGGCTCCAAGTCCATCCTTTCCCCCCACCCATGCACTCGCTGTTGGAGGATTAAATACAGTAGCAGAATATTGCTTTTAGACATGCCGAGAAATTAAGAGGGATAGTAACAATTTGACAGCCCATGCTTCCTCTCCATCTACCACACATGTACAACCTTCCCTCTCCTTCCTTCTCTCAATCACCAGAAGAAAGGGGCAGGAAAATGCTGATCTAGTTTCTCTTGGAGGAGTTTTCCCATTAGGCACTGCCTGCAGCCCTTGGGGGATAGATGAGTAGTTTGGGCTGAGAAAAATAGATCGCGGCAAGGTTCACTGGACGCTGCAGGTAACACAAGGGCAGGCCCGCCTGAGACAAGAGCGGACAGAGAACAATGAGCTATGGGGTAATCAGAGATTCCAACAGTTCCCTCAATTGAATTACCTAACTGACCCCCATGGCCCCTGCGCACTCACCATCCCAAGGGTCTCACATTTTGAGAATGACTCCTCACCCCGCCCCCCATCTCTATCTCCCAACTTGTTCAGGAAACAGAGGTTCTTGTACGCAAGGACTAGGGGAGAACTAGGGTAGAAACAAAAGGAATTAAAATAGCTCCTATGTAAAGACATTTGAAATTCTTGATCAAATCGTGAAAGTTAAGGCGATCCTCAAGTCTTTTTTTCATTCTTGTGCTGCAAGGCTCCTCCTTTCCACCTCACCAAGTTCCCTCTACCTCCTAAAGTCCTGTCTTCTGTTCTACTTCCCTTCCTATATCCCTTCAGCCAGGGGTGAAATTGAACCTTCAAGATATGAAAATTAGCACTTAATGATGGCCATTATCGTAATGATAACGCAGAGTCTCCTGAATCCATTCAGGCTCTCCAGAATTTCTTATCCTAGGATCTCTAAACCTTCCTCAACAATCATTCTCAAAGCACCTCTGGGGAGGGGTTTCCCCACAAGCAGGAAACAGAGATTAAGTGAAAACAGCCGAGTTCTCATTACCTCAGAGCTGGGATTCAGAAGCAAGAACTTTTGACTTATCCTCTGATAAAAAGCGCCTAGTTCTACCCTTCAAACAAAGTAGAGCCAAGGAATCCCTTACTCGTGAAATCCGCGTTTACTCTACCTCCAAAGAAGAAACCAAACCACTTTCCATAATCAGGTGGTGCTTTAGAAATCATGATTCCAGAAAGAGAAAGGAGAAATTCCAAAAAACGTCAGCCTTGCAAACAAGAGCCAAAAGCAACCAACCCCCGCAGCTACAGCTGCCACTAGAAATATATACTGAAACCAGGTCATGAGCTCCATTCCCAGAAGAGTCAGCTAGCTTTGCTCTTTTCCATAACTGCACACGGCATACCCAGCCAGCAGTTCCAGGCAAAAGTATGAATGGCTTAGCACAACAAATCCAACCCCACTAATGAAAACATAACTTTGACGTACCATGCCCTCTTAGTGGCATCTTTCATATGCGGCAAGTAGTTAAGTTAGAAATGTTGAGTATCTAAGTAAAAATCCTTGAAATCCTGTTTTTCCCTCCCTAAACCTCAATTCGGCCCTATTCACTACCTACGGTGAGGAGCCCAGGTCCTAGTCTACTCTCCTGCCAAGATGAGCTTGGTAAGGCTTTTCCATGTCCACTCTGTTCCAACCAGTACCGTCAAGACCACTTAACCCACTGTTGAACTTTCTATGGAAGAGATCTATGTAGAGGGCTTCAACAGAAAAGGATGTCTTGGTGATACAGATGCTCTTTGGCTAGGACAATGAAGCCCATCTCCCCAGAGCTGTGGGAATCAGTTTCCATCTTCTTTGTTCATAGCTTTGGACTGTTGTTCATTTGGCCCTCTTCCTCATCTCTCACCAGTCGCAGTGGGTGCTGTCTCTTCCATCTCCAACATATTTCTTGCATCTATCCCTTCCTATTCCCATTGCCATAATCCTGGTACAGATCTTCATTACCCACCCTCCCCCATTGATCCAAGTTTCTCTTCTCTTTCCCCCTGTATGTCATCCTTCATATTATTGTCAAAATCATCTTTCTTATCCACAGATCTTCCATTTAAATCTTCAGTATCATCTTCTTGCATTTCAAGTTTAAATTCTTCCTCTCGGTATCCAAAAAAAATTCATGAACCTGGAATCACTTTACCTTTTAAAGTTTATTTCATAAAACTATATACACTCTATGTTTCACTGAAACTAAACAACTTTTTTTTTCTTTTGTTAGGCAATTGGGTTGAGTGGCTTGCCCAGGGTCACACAGCCTAGCAAGTGTCAAGTGTCTGAGGCCAAATTTGAACTCAGGGCCTCCTGACTCCAAGGCTGGAGCTCTATCCACTGCGCCATCTCGATGCCCCATTAAACAACTTTCTAACAAAGACATCACACTTTCATGACCCCATGCCTTTGTTCATACTGTTCCCTACATCTGAAATGCCCTCTACCTCTCTTTACCTGTTGAGATTCTACCAGTAAGTTAAAGCTTATTGCAAATGCCCCCCTTTCTCATGAAGCATTCTCTTAACCCCCCAGTTAATTACCTCCTCAGACCTTTTGTTTTGTAACCCTAGTGAATATAAGATTGTGTATGATCTCTGTGTTGATGTCTTATCCTTAAATAAGACTGTAATCTCCTTAAGGCAAGGACTATGTCTTATCAAAACTGTATATGAAACCCCTTCCTCCCCAGCCTTAATGCTCATCAGGCACTTAATTGCAATGGAACTGATATTTATTAGCTTTAAGGCTCCTTACACTTATAAATCTATTTACCTATGATCTTTGATCTGTGATCTTGACCTATAGTTAAAAAGGGGAGGGGGGCATGCAATCACTTGAGGTTAGTTAATCCCAGTTCTTGGTGAATTTGGGACTAGTCACATTTTATTTAATTTTGCATCTATTCTCTCTCCTTCCTGCTGCCCCTCCACCCACAGGACAATTAAAAAATAAATAAAATCCTCATAACATACATATTGGTCATGTATGTGTATATATACATATATATGTGTATACATACATACCCCATTTTGCATTTTAATTTTCATAGGTGGGGTGCTTCATCTTTAGTCCTTTAGACTAAAGATTTATTATTGTATTGATCAGTGCTCTCAAATATTTCAAGCTGTATTTTATCTATGTTGATCACTTCATTCTGCATCAGTTCATAGAGGTCTTCCTAGTTTCCTTTGAAAATTTCCATTTAATCATTTATTATTAGTACAATAATATTCTCAAGGGGCAGCTAGGTGGTGCTGTTGATAGAGTACTGGCCCTGGAGTCAAGAGGACCTGAGTTCAAATCCAGACTCAGACACATAACCCCAGCTGTGTGACTTGGGGCAAGTCACTTAACCCCAATTGCCTTGCCAAAAAAACAAACAAACAAATCATACAATAATATTCTCACTTAATCTGACTAAATGGCAGGTATCTCCCTTTCTAAAACTCTAGGCATATCCTAGAGATTAATGGCTAATGATACATTACCAAAGGTAGGTCTACATTCAAACTAGATTTTCTA